TCCACGCTCCCGCTGCGTCTACTCATGTGATTACAACTTAATTATAGGCACGTAGGCTTGGCAATAAACGAGAAATAAAGTGGTGGCTCGCAGGCCCCAATAATAATAATAATCACAAGTACACACATCACACGATCCATGATCATCCGTCCACATCATACATTATATGTAAATATCATTATGTAGGACTACTAAATAATAATAATAGTTAATTAAATCTTTTAATTAACTAATATTTTTTTAAAATTATAGACATGTAGGAAATTTTTTGAATTATGAGGGGTATTTTTATAATTTGGATAAAATGATATAATTCAAAATTTCTAAAATTCCGAGAGGCAAAACTATCTTTTGCTTAAAAAACCCTAACCCTCTTTCCCTGCTACTGCGTTGTGGCCGCCGCCACCTTGCTGACGGTGGCCACTGCGTTGGGAGAGAGGGCCAGTCTATTCGATTATCTCGATGTCCTTCTCGAGTAACATGTGACTGGGATTATTTAGGATCTATGTTTAAAAATGAATTAGTCTCATTATCGTAATCTCATCATGATCCGATTCTCATTGCATAGATTTATAGATATCACAATATGCAACAGACAATATAAAGTGATAAAATATCAAATAATAATAATAAACAAAAAGATTATGTGTCAAGTCACACGTGCTATCACTCACGTGATTGGCTTGCAAGGCACTTATGACTAGCATAGTCCTCCATGGGTTCATATAGTTAACGATCCAATCAAGAATCGGTATCATACTATATAATTTTAAATTTTATTTAAGTGTTAGCATAGTTTTCTATGGGTTCATATAGTTAACGATCAAATCAAGAACATATACGAGTACTATATGATTTTAAATTTTATTGAAGTATTAATATACTCCTATATGAGCTCTTATAGTTAATCGATCACTATCATATCATATAATTTTAAATTTTATTAAAGTGTTAGTATAATCCTTTATGAGCTCATATAGTTAACAATCCAATCAAGAACTAGTATTGTACCATATGATTTAAAAATTCATTATAGTGTTAGTTGTTAAATCTCGAATTTTGATGATGAAATCAATTGTAAATTATTTAAACTAATCTATATGTTGAGAAAAGTATGCAGGATTAACTACGATAGCAGTAAAACATAAAGCAGGTATTGTGCCGGAGTCAAGATCGAGATCACGTTGGAAGTTCAAGAGTTCGTCGGAAGTCCGAACGTTCGTCGGAAGTTCTACCGGAACCAATCGAGAAGTCTAGGAGCTTGCCAAAAAAGCTCATCGGAACTTACAAGAAGATTGTGTAATGTCCGGGAGCTTGCCGGGAGTCCGCCGGAATATTACCGAGAGTTCGTCGAAAGATGGCCAAAAGATCGTCGGAAGAGCAATTGATGTATCGGAACAAGAGTGCTTTGATTATGTCTTAGTTATTATAGTTAAATTGTAGATTGAATTAGAATTGGGAGGTAATCCCATTAACTTAATTAGGGACCAATTAGGCCCTTAACAGGGTTGAATTGGGTCGGATTAAACAGCCCATTTAGCCCTTGAAAACATGGTCGGCGATGGCACCGCTTGGGAGACCCACTCTCCCAGGTAGTCTGGGCAGTGGTACCACTAGCAATCAATGCTGCCAGCGGTGGTACCGCCTCTGTCAGGTGGTGGTACTGCCAAAGCTCGGTCTCCGAGCTTTATCAGGTGATGATACCGCCCATTAATGGCGGTGGTACCGCCTGCATCCTGAAATCCAAGGATTTAAATTTTTTGACTCTAACTTTTGAAGCTATTGGGGCCTATAACTTTTGAAGCTATTGGGGCTTACAATAAAGTGCTATCATATGTGTGAAAAATTCTAAGTGTTTGGAGTGTGAAAAGTGTTGTGAAAGTGAGAAGAGTTCTCCTCCTCCCTCTCTTAGTCTTGTAACTATCCAAGAAAGAGGAGTGAAACTTGTAAGGGTTGTCTCCTAAACTCGGCAAAAGGAGAAAGCGTTGTAAAAGGTAGTTGGTCTTCGCTTATTGAAGAAAGACCTTTAGTGGACACCGGTGACCTCGACGGAGGAGAAATCCAAAGTGGATGTAGCTCTCATTGACCAAACCATTCTAAATTCTGGTTTGCTTTTCATTTTGTGCAATTTACTTTACTGCAAATCTCCTTGAGCTTCTCCTTATATTTTTATGAAAGTTTTAATTCAATATTTTTTCGAAACGATTTGAATCGAGACAAACTTTCTACGAAGTCGGAAAAAATTTCGCTACACTAATTCACCCCCCTCTTAGTGTCGCTCTTAATCCTAACATTAGTATAGTCCTCTGTGAGCTTAGATAGTTAACGATCTAATCAAGAATTGGTATCATACCATATGATTTTAAATTTCAGCAAAGTATTAGTATAGTCCTCTATGAGATCATATAATTAACGATTCAATCAAGAACCAGTATCATACTATATGATTTTAAATTTCAGTGAAGTATTAGTATAGTCCTCTTTGTGGTCATATAGTTAATGATCCAATCAAAAACCAGTATCGTACCATATAATTTTAAATTTTAGTGAAGTGTTAGTATAGTCCTCTATGGACTCATATAGTTAACGATCAAATCAAGAACCAGTATCATATAATATGATTTTAAATTTCATTGAAGTATTAGTATAGTCGTCTATGAGCATATATAGTTAATGATCCAATCTATAATTGACCCGTATCAAATAAGATCATATAGTCCTCTATGAGATCATATATATAATTAGCGATCCAATCAAGAATCAGTATTGTACCATATGATTTTAAAATTCATAAGTGTTAGTATAGTCTTCTATGAGCTTAGATAATTAACGATCCAATCAAGAATTGGTATCGTACCATATGATTTTAAATTTCATTAAAGTGTTAGTATAGTCCTCTATGAGCTCATATAGTTAACGATCCAATCAAGAACCGGTATCATACTATATGATTTTAAATTTTATTGAAGTGTTATTATAGTCCTCTATAAGCTCATATAGCTAACAATCCAATCAAGAACCGGTATCGTACTATATGATTTTAAATTTTATTGAAGTGTTAGTATAGTCCTCTATGAGCTTATATAATTAACGATCCAATCAAGAACCGATATCATACCATATGATTTTAAATTTTATTGAAGTATTATTATAATCCTCATATAGTGAACGATCTAATCAAGAACCGGTA